AAAAAAAAAAAAAAAAAAAAAAATTTATGATGTCGAACCGGGAGAGAATTCAAGCCTTGGAGGACAACATGAAGATCATCGGCGATGGTCAACATGCTACCAACGAGAACTTGGGAAGGATTGAACTCATGGTCCAGGACTTGGCTGGGCAACTAACACGCATGAACACGCGGCCAAGGAGACGACACGGGTCGCGGTCCACGGCAGTCAGCACCGGGACCGAGCACGAGGATGATCGCCGATCGCGGGGCTCGCACGCATCACACGCAGATCACCATCGCGACGGCCAACGACGACACGAGGGACGCGCACATCACGACCGAAGGCGCGAAGAAGATGACGACCGGCAGTCGTACGCATCGCGGGCCACACGCGATGAACGCCGAGCACGACGCGATGACCGAGAGCGCTACGACGAGGATCGGCGACGGCGCGAGGGGCGCGATAACCGACGACACGAGCGCGATGAGAAACTGGACGAACGAGCAGGTACACAACCAAAAATTGTGATGCCCACGTTCACGGGAACGGATCCGGATGCATGGTTGAGTCGGGCTGTGCAATTCTTTGAGATCAATGATGTGCCAAGATACGAACGAGTGCAAATTGCTGCCTATCACCTTGATGGGGAAGCAAACGTTTGGTAGCAATGGGTGATGCACAAAAACCATGGCGAGTACATGCGATGGAGAGATTTTGAAAAAGAGCTTATCACGAGGTTTGGCTCGAGTGACTACCACGATTACAACGAGGCTTTTTCAAGGATCAAACAAGTGGGTAGTCTAAGGGATTATCAAAAAGAGTTCGAGCGAATCGCTAGTAGGGTACGAGACTGGCCCAAGGCTGCGTTAGTGGGAACGTTTGTTGGAGGACTTAAAGCTGAACTGGCAGCCGAAGTGAGGTTGGACAGGCCAGGCTCGATGCGAGCAGCCGTTGAGTCGGCTAGATTGCACGAGGAACATCTTGTGGCGGTACGCAAGGCCAAGCCGAGCGATGCGCGCACGGAGACCAAGCGCACGAATGCCGCAACCGAGGAACTGGCAGGGCGAACGGAGAACAAACCGATGGGCGAGATTGTTCGAACGACGAGCAACATAAGACGGCTTACCGACGAAGAGATGCAACGGCGGCGAGAAAAAGGCCTTTGCTATTCGTGCAACAAAAAATTTACACCAGGCCAAAGGTGCAAGGGTAAGGAGGTCTTTTTGTTGGAATTTGAGGAAGAAGAAGAACCAAGAGAGGAGTCCCTATTACATATGGTTAAAAGCAATAAACGTGGTCCGAAGATGATCACATTCACGGCTGAAGTAGGAGGAAAATTGGTGGAAGTGTTGGTCGATAGCGGATATACGCTAAACTTCATTGATGAGGAGTTGTCTAAAGAAATCGAGATTCCATTCACCAAGGTAAAACCTTTTGGAGTCAAGGTTGCAAACGGGGAAACACTACGAGGAGATATTTTATTCAAGGGTGTAAAGTTGAAAGCTCAAGGTCAAAGGATAAGAGTGGATCTCTATGCATTGCCATTGAAGGCAGCTGATGTAGTGCTTGGATGCCAGTGCTTGGAGACTCTTGGTCCAATCACAACCGATTATTGAAAAGGAACTATGGAGTTCGGGAGGTCAAGCAAGAGGGTTAAGTTAAGGACTGAGGATCCAGGCGGGTCACTTGATGAAGAAAACGGGGATGGTCGAGGTGGGAAGCTGAATTTTCTAATCCTTGGGGACAAGGAAGGTCTTGAAGAGGAGGGGAATGATACGGAAGTGGCAGTGGAGTCCGGCGAGTCTGGTGAGGAGCTAAATGGCAAAAGGTGCGCATCGGCACTTGATGCGCACGAGTGGGCGATCAGACCACGCACGCGGGTTTGGCGGGGAGAACGCGGGCGCAAGATGGACGGGTGCACGGGTGCACGCGGAGACGCCGTAGGCGATCTGGGCGCGGACGACGGATGGGACGCACGGGGCAGGAGCAGGGCGCGCGAGTTGGGCGGAAGCGCGGACGTCCTCGTCCGCGGGGGCATAGGACAGGCGTGCACGGACGCGCGCGAGAAGGACGGCAAGAGCTGGGCATGCGCGGTGGCACGCGAGTGGGATGACGCGGATGGTGCCCTAGGCGTGGAAGGATTAGGCGACGCGGGAGCGCTAGGCACGCACGCGCAAGGTGGAGTCGGCAGACGGGGGGCGCGCGCGAAGGACGACGCGTGGGGAGTAAGCGCGCGGGTTGCTGCGCGCAACGAGGAGTAGGAAAGGCAAGGCGGCGCGCGCGCAAGCTGGCGGGACGCGCGCGACGCGTGAGAGGCGGCCGAAGAGTTGGGGCGAGCGTAGGGTTTTAGTTTGGGACATTCTAGATTTTCTTGGTGTGCAAGCCAAGCAATAGTTATTTGGTAGGTTTAGGATTTTATTGCTTTCAAGACTTAGGATTTAATATTTAATTATTTAATTAGTTTCCTAGTAAGAATAGATCTAGAGATAGTTGGTATCTATAAATACCCCATGTACCTCATCATATTTTACATGTTGAATGAAGTATTGAATTGGTGAGCCAATCTTGAGGGGGAACTTTATGTTCTTAACGTGTGATAAAGAAGGCCATTAGTGCGTCTTTACATACAGTGTCGGAAAGAAGGCCATTAGTGCGTCTTGAAGTCACGGTATCTAGAAGAAGGCCCTGAGTGCGTCTGCTAGATACACCTATCGGGGATAAACGAAGGCCGCAGTGCGTCGTTTATTCGCAACCCAGTATAGACAAAAGACCGATCCGTCATCAGCGCGCCAGCGCGCACTAATACGGAAGTGGTCATCAACCCCGGTGAGTCCGACGATGAAGGTGACGATGGTCTCGTTTTATCGTTGGAGAACATGTTGGAAAAGCCATCAAGCCCGATTTATCGACCATCATGCAAGAGAGACTGGCCAAAAGGATGTGGTCCACGAGCTAAGCTCAAGCCTAGGAGGAGCAAGACCAAACGAGCTCGAAGGAAACACAAGGCAAAAGCAAAAGAAGAGAAGTGTTGGTGTAAGCCATGTGCGAGAAAGAGACGAGGTAAGAATAGAATGGAGGATGGATGGGATTGGCGTGCCGGAAATTGCATGAACATAGAAGGTAAGTGCATCGAGGGATGGTACCCATGGGACGGACCGAGACGACCGGGCGAGCACTTACAGTCGGCTGGCGACTGGGGTGCGAGCACGAGTCAGCGGCGCGCATCGTACCTTGATGCGCGCGAACATACGAAGGGGTCGAACGAGCAAGGACGTGCGCATGGATGTAACGCACGATGGTGCGCATCGGGAGGATCGGCGACGGAGGTTGGCAGCACGCAGACGGCAGCAGGCGTACGCGGGTGCGCAGTAGGCGATTGGGGCACGGGAACGTCGAGCGAGGGCAGCAACCACGTGAGTGGTCGGGACGCGCGATGGTTGGCCAGCTGGGGCGAGGCGTGCGAGGGGCGCGCGAGTACCAGCGATGCGGGCAGACACCTAATCTGTGTGGGCATAGGCGTAACGGGTGACGGTGAGGATGTTGGCGGTACGCGCGGCACTACGGGCGCACGAGGCTGCGCGATAGAAGAGCGGACCTCGGAGACGGGCGTCACGCGCGGAGCAGCAGGCGATGGGCATGCGGGGCGCGCTGGGCGCGCGAGTGGCGATGACGCGGACAGAGGCCTACGCTGGGAAGGACTAGGAGAGCAGGGCGCGGGGTACCACGCACGGGCGGAAGGCGGCGCAGGTGAAGTGCGCGCAATAACGTGCGCGTGCACGGAGGGCGCGAGCGAAGCCGCGACCGACGAGGATTAGGTCTCGCGGGCGGCGCGCACACATGGAAGGGGCTGAAAGTTTGAGCATGTGGGATTTTAGGGAGCTTCTAGATTTGCTTGGTGTGCAAACCAAGCAATAGTTATTTGGTAGCTTTAGGATTTTATTGCTTTCTAGAGTTAGGATTTATTTTATTGCATAGAATAGGAGAACTAGATCTATTAGGCTTAGAGATAGTTGGT